ATATCGGGCGATAATTATTGACATCACTCCGATCACCTGATTTGAAAAGTGGACGGACTTTAGCAGTTTTCCATCTCTGAGGGAAAACCCCTACCCGGATTGAGCAGTTCAGCAGTTTACATAGGGAAGGAGCAATAATAGGCGCAGCTATCTTCAACATCCTAGCACTGATTTTATCCACACCTGTGGCCTTATTTGGGCTGAGACTCAATAGAGAATCCAGGACAAAGGCTTTAGTAACTGAAGGGATGTTAAACTTGACATCAGGGTCCTTTCTCGACCTAACGAAATTATTGAGTCGAGTAAAGTCAATCGGGACTTTTTTCAGCAAAGATCGTAACTTGTCAGCAATGGAGACAAAATGCTGGTTAAACTTATCGGCTGCCGATTGATCATCGTTCACAACACCACACTTGGCTTTTTCTTTGTTACTAAGACCGGAGAGAGACTTGATGGTTTTCCAAATAGCTCGAGGATTACCTGTTTCTGTTAAAACCAGATTTAGGCAAAGCTTGTTTAGGAATACTAAGCGATTCTTTTAAGCAGGCCTACTTTGAATAAAGCTTACCAAAGATCAGCGAGCTTTATTCAAAAGTCTGCTTAGCAATCTAAAAAAAGATATCGATATTATAACATTCTATATTGAGCTCCCGCTCAATTAAGGTCTTCGATGCACTAAATGAGCGGAAGTTTTAAAATGTACAAAACAAATCCCAAAAATACTATCTAAGTAAGGATAGACCTTTAATGATTTTATTAGCAATCTAAAAGAAGGTGTCGATTCATATTAAAACGTTCTATTTCGTGACGCAGGCTCCCGCTCAATTAAGGTCTTCGATGCACTAAATGAGCGGGAGTTTTAAAATGTACAAAACAAATCCCAAAAATACTAAGTAAGAAAAACCTTTTATAAGTTTATTAGCAATCTAAAAAAAGATGTCGATTCAAATTAAAACGTTCTATTTCGTTACGCAGGCTGCCGCTCAATAGTTGAGTTTTGCGATCTTTTTTTCGCTGTGTTAGCCTTAATTATGTGCTAAAATATTCAGAAATCTCATAAAATTCGTGAGATTTCAAACTATTTCCATTGTCTTCTATACTCACAGATCTCTTGCATGGCACGGGCTGTTGTGAATAAAAGAATTTATTACATGGTTTTGAGGCTAAGACAGCGTAAAAGAGATCGCTAAAAGGGTTTATTAAAGTCTTCGATGCACTAAATGAGCGGGAGTTTTAAAATGTTGACAAAACAAATCCCAAATATTCTATCTAAAAGTAAGAAAAACCTTTTATAAGTTCATAAGCAATCTAAAAAAAGATATCGATTCACATTTTAATATTTAAAAAACGTTTTATTTCGTAACGCAGGTTCCCGCTCAATATAGGTCTTCGATGCACTAAATGAGCGGGAGTTTTAAAATGTACAAAACAAATCCCAAAAATACTATCTAAGTAAGAAAAACCTTTTATAAGTTTATTAGCAATCTAAAAAAATATGTCGATTCATTTTAAAACGTTCTATTTCGTTACGCAGGCTGCCGCTCAATAGTTGAGTTTTGCGATCTTTTTTACGCTGTGTTAGCCTTAATTATGTACTAAAATATTCAGAAATCTCCATAAAATTCGTGAGATTTCAAACTATTTCCATTGTCTTCTATACTCACAGATCTCTTGCATTTGCACGGGCTGTTGTGAATAAAAGAATTTATTGCATGGTTTTGANGACAATAAAACTGACTAATGAAAAGAAAGAAAAACTGAAGTTGAGCTGTAAAACTATTCTAGCCAAGAATGTTATCAGTATAACTGAGCTAGCTCAGCTAATTGGTATATTAGTTTCCAGTCTGCCAGGAGTGCAGTTTGGTAAACTTCACTATAGGACACTAGAGATTGAAAAGAATTCAGCTCTTAGAGAGAATA